GACCCGTGTTCAGGTTACGCCTGCCTGACCGTCACCCTGGCCCTGGGAGCTTGCCTTTGCCTTCTTCCTGGCATCCCAGGAAAATCCCGCCTGGGGCAGCCCCTGGCTGTTCAGATGGAAGGTGCAAATTCAGACACCAGCACTGTGGGAAACAAGGTCAAAGACATACACAGACCCTGGGCAGAGCAGGCCTCATGGGTGGGGAGGGCAGCCCGCCATCCCCTGGTCATCCGAGGCAGGAATGAAGAGTCAGGCAGAGCGAGTATGTGTGTATTTACAGGAGAACAGGGTGGGGGTCACTTTGAGTTTATGGCCAAATGCCTGGATGTTGGTTTAAAGGACACAGTGGGAACAGTGGGGAGGCCAGTCTGCTAGATGGGAGAGATACTTCTTAAGTTCTCACCTCTGCCCGCCGGCTTGAAGCACTTGGGTGTGGTGAGGAGCTTGAAGCCGTTCAGAAGGAAGTGGCAGAGATGCTAATGGTCAAACAGCAGCCTTTGCTGTGGTGCTCCCGTTATGGCACTATAGAGATCTCTTGAATCCATTAAAGATGCCAGAGGTGTTCACGCTTGTTTATAGAGGGTGAAACTGAGATGAGAACCACCCGGGCAATATCCTCACAGAAAGTCTTGTGTGCTCCTGTCATATCCCCTCAGAGACTGCCACTGTGGTAACTTGTCCTTCCCTCCTGACTCTGGCTCCATCCCTGGTAACTTGTGCAACACATGTTTAAGTCTTTCTTGAAGATTATGCTGAGGACCAGACACAGTGGCTCATGTCTGTAATCGCAGGTTTTTGGGAGGCTGAGGCTGGAGGATTGCTTGAGGCCAGGAGTTAGAGACCAGCCTGAGTAACATAGGGAGACCCCCACCTCTGTAAAAAATTTTTAAATTAGCCAGGTGTGGTGGCGTGTGCCTGTTGCCCCAGCTACTCAGGAGGCTAGGGTGGAAGGATCAGTTGAGCCCAGGAGGTCAAGGCTGCGGGGAGCCATGATTACCCCATAGCACTGAAGCCCAGGTGACAGAGTGAGAGCCTATCAAAAAAAAAAAAAAAAAAGGCCGGGCGCGGTGGCTCACGCCTGTAATCCCAGCACTTTGGGAGGCTGAGGCGGGAAGATCATGAGG